ATATCAATGGGCTTATAATGATCTGTGAAATTCATCTCAATTCCTTTTCTTTTTTAATTTTTTATCAAGGCTTGATAAAGATCTACAAAATATTTGGGCGTAAGACAGGTATGCGACCAATGCCCTGTCATGCCACATCTGTAAGAAGCATTTTTATGATTCTTGGGAGGTTTATTCTGTAAACCTTTTCCCCTTTCTTGTGATGTTCTAGAATTATTCCACTTATAGTGGAATGGCATGTTATTTTTTTGAACATATGGCCCACGAATTCGATAATTATTTCTACCTCAGCCACGTCCAAACCCATGACCTCTCCTTCGTCGACGACCATGAAATGCAACCTCATTCACTTCAAGGAATGGAGCAAAACCGTTGGACGGGATAAATGATTTTTCAATCACAATTGATTAGTTTGTTCAGCCACAAGAAAGCATGAAATCAATTCAGAATACTTTGAAAAACAACGCTCTCTATATTGCTACTGCAGGAGCACATTGTCAGCGTGAAATGTGGAGAATATTTTTTCAAGCATATCTTCTTTAGTAATTTTTTCTCCACATAATTTTAATCGAGAGATTATTTTAAATAAAGTAGAATTGTACTCACTAATTGATTTATAATCTTGCAACCTCATGTGCAACTAATCATAACGGGCTCTTGGGAGGATTACAATTTTCTAGTACTCGTATCTCTCATTCAAATTATTCCATAGAATTAGTGGATCTTTTACCGTAGGGTTTTATTTTTTAATTCTTCGTGGAGATGACGGGGAATGAATATCATTGCCTTTGCGCAACCCTATAAGGATACTTTATTTATATGATTTATGGTATCTCCAAGATTCACTGCCTCAATGTGGATCTCAACGTCAAGAATTCAAGATAAATAATTTTTTCTAAAAATGTTAAGTGCCGAGAATTCTAATTTTGAAAGATTTGACATGATTACTAAATTTAACAAAAACGATATATTTAGTATCACGTAAATATATTAAGGAAATATATAATTAGGTTTAGAATTTATTTATACTTATTACAACCACCCAGTAGCTTTTTCTTCTCAGCTGGCTAGAATCTCGTGCTGATAACGTATTATAAAACTAAAGAAAATAAAGAAGGAAGAACCACAATGGAAGAGGAAATAAAAGATCACACATATAATATACAATTTTTCTATATATTCATTATACAGAAAAACCTTCACTATACTACATGGCATACCACACTTTCCACATGCTAAACCTTTCCTCTATTTTCACTTTGGCCTAAAACTCATTAGAACTCTAATTACAACTCTTTTGATTGTTATCCAAATATTTCACAACAATGCTTTATTTGTTTATTATTTTATTATTTAATGGGTAGGAGCATTGACAATATAAATACAAAGACACTCGGTTTAAAAGTTCAAAATTAAATTTTTGGACAAAGTTCAAAATTAAATTTTATTTGTCCAAACATGCAGTTGTTAAAACATGATGTTCACAAGGACAAGGCTGTACTAAATAACTAAACTACCGTCATATATATATACATATTATATCTGCATATCCCAAACCAAACCCGCTCATCTCTCTCTCCTCAGTTCAACACCGCCTCCTCTGTCGCTGCTGCCAGCTCTTCGTCGTTGCTGCCAACACTAGAGCCACCGTCTCTGTTTTCAGCTCCTACTCCTTTCAATTCCGTCACTGTTGGAGAAGTTGATCTACACTCCTAGATTGACTTTGCAGATAGACGGATCTACCGCCCTCTGTCACCGCCGTCCTCTGCTGCCCTCCATTGCTACCTTCTTTCAACTTTGTCCACATACTTCTCTCTCTCTCTCTCTCTCTTTAATTTCTAGGGTTTCTTCGATACTTCTTCTTCTCTCCCACAACTAAAATCAATCATTGATCTCGGCTGGACTTTGACGAGTTGACTTAGCCTCTACCGCTAAGAGCTTCGACGAGTTTTAGAGACAAACCTCTCTGATGACGAGTTGTACTCTACTAAGGAAAGAGCTCTCCAATCACTCTTCACCACTCGAACAAAATATTTAGAGAAAATCTGATGCTCTGAAGCGCAAGATTGAAACCCTAGACTTTCAGACCAAGAAGTCCCTTCAATTCCTCAATAAGCGCTAGTTCTCCATCAACGATTCCATCGCCACGAGGTTCTATATATATGTATGTATATATGTATGAGTGGTGAAATCAATAGAACTAGCAAGACAAACATACTAGTTAGACATATATATATATATATATGTATGTATGTATGTGTATTTTTTTTTTTAGCAGATAACATTTTTGTTCTCTCTCTGTTTTTTTTTTTTTTTTTGTTTTTGTTTTTTTTTTGGTAGTTGATTGTTGATGTTGATGATGATGGTGATTGTTGTTGATGAAGAAACTGATTTGTAATGGACAAATATTGCTATAGATATGGACGAAGGGAGAGAGAGAGAGAGAGAGAGAGAGTGAGAGAGATTTGAATGAATAGGGTTTCGTATTTCAACAAATAGGAAAAAAATGAACATATATGTTGTTGTTGTTGATGATGATGGTCAAACATATTACAACAGATATGGAGAGACAGAGAGAGTGAAAAGAAAGATTTGAACAAATAGGGGCTTGATATTTCAATAGATAGGAAAAAAATGAACAGACAATAAAATTTGGATAGATGTTTGAATAGATAAAGGGCAGAAATTGAACAGATATATATAAATTTGAATAGATAGGTAAAATTTTGAACAGATAGGAATTTTTTTTGAACAGAGAGAAAAGAAATTTGAACAAATAGTTAATGAAAGTCAATAGATAAAAAAAATCAACAAATCAATTGAGGGGTAAAATTAGAAATAAAATGTCTTTTAAAATAAGAAAAAAAGATTTCTCAGCAAACTATTTTACAAATGGTGGACCTCTCATTAATAAAAAAATCTATTAAACCTAATGTTTTATAACCTCCTTAGATTGGATTTATCACCAATATTGTAACGTCCTCAAAATAAACTCATAATATATATAACATTGACATGCATTAATAAAAGAAAACCAACCATTATACCATTCATCAGAGTATTCTTATTGAAAAGCATTACACGTAACATCAAAGTAAATGCCCTACGGGCTTACATCTTTCCAAGCCTGTTCTTGGACACAAAATATGAGTACTAACTCAACTACAAGTTAAGCCCTTGGCTTGAGTGTTTACATGTAATAACAAATAAAATAAATGACAACTAAACTAAATAGAGTCTTCAACTCCAATTCCTTTCAAGCTAAGCCCTTGGAGGTAGCTTATCACCTGAACCTGAAATTGATGTTCCCGTATAGGGTGAGCCCCAGCCCAGTAGAAATATACTAAACCAAACATAAGTATTGAATAAAGTAATAGCATTCAATAGATGGTTAACCAAGATAATCAATTATATCATTATACAGCCTCGTGATACTAATGTCTATTACATGTTTCACTTTCCATTATTATCACTATGGCTCAGAACATGGCCAAACTTACTGCAGTGAACTGTAAATCATATTTACATTACTTTCAATATCAACAAAACAAATGAGACTCAGGCTCATATCAAAACATTTCATATTTCCCGTTTGATACACATTTTAGTGTTGTATCAATAACATGTAAAAACACTTCAATATCAATAAGCACACATAATAGTGGTGCTAATGGAGTCCATCCCCTATCTCTTCCCAAACAAAAAATCTGGTTTAGAGGTCCATCCCCTATCTTCCCCTAAACCGTGGAGTACATCCCCTATCTCCTCCCAAACAATATGCATATGCAAATGCAATGCTCAATCAATACATGTATTTTCTGTATTAATTCAATAGTCTAAATTTATGACTTAAACAAATTGATTAGTTTCAATTTTCCCTAATTCACATGCAATGTCTACAACAAACACGACTATCCTCCACCGACAGCGCAAAACAGTTATTTCTAGACTGTAAATAAATATATCAACAATTCAATAGGCGAGTGATTTAAATTGTTCAACTACACCATTTAATCAATGATTTCCCCAATTTCCCTAAATTAATTATACAAATTAATTTATTAATACAACTAGGGTTTTTCTCAAAATTTCCAAGTATCCCCAACATATCAAAATCCCAAAACTTAGAACAAAACTTATAAGATGGAGTAGGAAATCCCTACCTTGAAGCGAAGAACTCGAATGGAGAAGATGACGAAAACCAAAGTGCTCCAAACCCAAGATTGTTCAGATTAAACGGAAGCCCTCGACCCACTCTATCTTTGTAACAAAGGACTTAGGGTAGAAATACACTCCAAGTAGATCAAACCTAAGAGAGAAGGTGTGTAGGGAGAGGGAGAAGACGGTTCTAGGGTTTTAAAATAAAAAAGGAGATGAAAAATGACCCAGAAAGTCGGGTCTCAGATTTTTATACTAGTCGCCCCGCTCGAGCGTGGAAACCCCCGCTCGAGCGCCACTCATAGACTCCCGCTCGAGCGGCCAAACTCCCGCTCGAGCGGCGAATGCACACTCCCAAAAGTTTTTGCAGACAGCTCCCCGATCGAGCGCCCAACTCCCCGCTCGAGCGTAACTCACGACTTCCCGCTCAAGCGTCCAATCCCCCGCTCGAGCGGCCAACACTACACAGGACATACTGGATGGGTGTATTCCCCGCTCGAGCGTCCAAACCCCCGCTCGAGCGGACAAGCCAAAATCTGGGCAACTAGACTTGATTCCTAAGCTCAACCAACCTGCTCCAAATCTTCCCAACACAACCCAAGACTCAAAATAAGGATTAAAGGGTGCAAACAACATACTCTCAATAACCAGCTCCACGGAATCTAAGTCTGTATATAACAAGTAAAGAAAAGGGAAACCGGGATCGCTATAAAATAATTGAGGAAGCATTGTTGATTTTTGATGGAAGGAAAGAGGAGTTTGATCATCGCATATACAAATTTTCAAAGTACACTGAATTTGGTTCCACATGGGAAGTGTCATACCATCCCGCAACTAGCATAATGAAATGCAGTTGCAAAAAGTTTGAGTTCTTTGAACTTCCTTGCAGCCATATGATTTCTGTGATGAAATGTGAACACATGACTGAAATTCCCCCAGGTTGTGTGATGCATCGTTGGACAAAGCAAGCAAGAAAGGTTGGTGAACAACATTGCCAAGCCCAATTCTCTAGCACTCTCACACAGGAGACACGCTTTGGGGTTCTTTGCTCCTTTTTTACTGAAATGTGTTACTATGCCTCACAAACATCTGAAGGATTTGAAGAGGCTAGGAATGCATTTTTCACTATGACATGTCGGATGAAGCAGCTTTGCATGGCCAAGGGAACTAATGTTGATGAAGGAAAAAGTTCACTACCGCCATTTGGGGTTGGGGATCCGAAAGTAGTGAACACGAAGGGGAATACTGCGGGATCCTACATGGCTAAACCTCGAAAGCCAAGGCGATGCCAATGTTGCAGGTATACATTATATTGTGCTTTGTGTCTTAATTTTGTTATTGTGAGGTAGTATTGGCATTTTTGTTCTCTTTAATGATTGGTGATTTACTTGACAATGTAGGGTCGTCGGCCACACGAGGAGAACTTGCCCCCAAAACGATCATAAAACGGGACAAGTGGGTAGAAATTTGTTTGAGGAATACGATGATTATGATCCAATTGGTACTCCCACCCCTTTTACACCGAAGCGTCCCAGGAATAATATGAGGCCATGTAAGACCCACCCTGTGAAGCGACGACTTTTTGTCACTAAAGTGGATACGTCTCCAGTGCAGTTGAGCAAGGATGTTAATGACTTGCGTAGTTGAGGAAGAGAGATTGAAGCAAGAAAGGACTGAAAGTGCTCATCTAGCAAGCACCTCCAAGCATACGGGCAATGTTTTATAGGCTTTTCAACAATAATTTAATATACATGAAAAATTATATTGTTTTTGTTTTATAGGCTTTTCAACAATAATTTAATATACATGAAAAATTATATTGTTTTTGTTTTATAGGCTTTTCAACAATAATTTAATATACATGAAAAATTATATTGTTTTTGTTTTATAGGCTTTTCAACAATAATTTAATATACATGAAAAATTATATTGTTTTTGTTTTATAGGCTTTTCAACAATAATTTAATATACATGAAAAATTATATTGTTTTTGTTTTATAGGCTTTTCAACAATAATTTAATATACATGAAAAATTATATTGTTTTTGTTTTATAGGCTTTTCAACAATAATTTAATATACATGAAAAATTATATTGTTTTTGTTTTATAGGCTTTTCAACAATAATTTAATATACATGAAAAATTATATTGTTTTTGTTTTATAGGCTTTTCAACAATAATTTAATATACATGAAAAATTATATTGTTTTTGTTTTATAGGCTTTTCAACAATAATTTAATATACATGAAAAATTATATTGTTTTTGTTTTATAGGCTTTTCAACAATAATTTAATATACATGAAAAATTATATTGTTTTTGTTTTATAGGCTTTTCAACAATAATTTAATATACATGAAAAATTATATTGTTTTTGTTTTATAGGCTTTTCAACAATAATTTAATATACATGAAAAATTATATTGTTTTTGTTTTATAGGCTTTTCAACAATAATTTAATATACATGAAAAATTATATTGTTTTTGTTTTATAGGCTTTTCAACAATAATTTAATATACATGAAAAATTATATTGTTTTTGTTTTATAGGCTTTTCAACAATAATTTAATATACATGAAAAATTATATTGTTTTTGTTTTATAGGCTTTTCAACAATAATTTAATATACATGAAAAATTATATTGTTTTTGTTTTATAGGCTTTTCAACAATAATTTAATATACATGAAAAATTATATTGTTTTTGTTTTATAGGCTTTTCAACAATAATTTAATATACATGAAAAATTATATTGTTTTTGTTTTATAGGCTTTTCAACAATAATTTAATATACATGAAAAATTATATTGTTTTTGTTTTATAGGCTTTTCAACAATAATTTAATATACATGAAAAATTATATTGTTTTTGTTTTATAGGCTTTTCAACAATAATTTAATATACATGAAAAATTATATTGTTTTTGTTTTATAGGCTTTTCAACAATAATTTAATATACATGAAAAATTATATTGTTTTTGTTTTATAGGCTTTTCAACAATAATTTAATATACATGAAAAATTATATTGTTTTTGTTTTATAGGCTTTTCAACAATAATTTAATATACATGAAAAATTATATTGTTTTTGTTTTATAGGCTTTTCAACAATAATTTAATATACATGAAAAATTATATTGTTTTTGTTTTATAGGCTTTTCAACAATAATTTAATATACATGAAAAATTATATTGTTTTTGTTTTATAGGCTTTTCAACAATAATTTAATATACATGAAAAATTATATTGTTTTTGTTTTATAGGCTTTTCAACAATAATTTAATATACATGAAAAATTATATTGTTTTTGTTTTATAGGCTTTTCAACAATAATTTAATATACATGAAAAATTATATTGTTTTTGTTTTATAGGCTTTTCAACAATAATTTAATATACATGAAAAATTATATTGTTTTTGTTTTATAGGCTTTTCAACAATAATTTAATATACATGAAAAATTATATTGTTTTTGTTTTATAGGCTTTTCAACAATAATTTAATATACATGAAAAATTATATTGTTTTTGTTTTATAGGCTTTTCAACAATAATTTAATATACATGAAAAATTATATTGTTTTTGTTTTATAGGCTTTTCAACAATAATTTAATATACATGAAAAATTATATTGTTTTTGTTTTATAGGCTTTTCAACAATAATTTAATATACATGAAAAATTATATTGTTTTTGTTTTATAGGCTTTTCAACAATAATTTAATATACATGAAAAATTATATTGTTTTTGTTTTATAGGCTTTTCAACAATAATTTAATATACATGAAAAATTATATTGTTTTTGTTTTATAGGCTTTTCAACAATAATTTAATATACATGAAAAATTATATTGTTTTTGTTTTATAGGCTTTTCAACAATAATTTAATATACATGAAAAATTATATTGTTTTTGTTTTATAGGCTTTTCAACAATAATTTAATATACATGAAAAATTATATTGTTTTTGTTTTATAGGCTTTTCAACAATAATTTAATATACATGAAAAATTATATTGTTTTTGTTTTATAGGCTTTTCAACAATAATTTAATATACATGAAAAATTATATTGTTTTTGTTTTATAGGCTTTTCAACAATAATTTAATATACATGAAAAATTATATTGTTTTTGTTTTATAGGCTTTTCAACAATAATTTAATATACATGAAAAATTATATTGTTTTTGTTTTATAGGCTTTTCAACAATAATTTAATATACATGAAAAATTATATTGTTTTTGTTTTATAGGCTTTTCAACAATAATTTAATATACATGAAAAATTATATTGTTTTTGTTTTATAGGCTTTTCAACAATAATTTAATATACATGAAAAATTATATTGTTTTTGTTTTATAGGCTTTTCAACAATAATTTAATATACATGAAAAATTATATTGTTTTTGTTTTATAGGCTTTTCAACAATAATTTAATATACATGAAAAATTATATTGTTTTTGTTTTATAGGCTTTTCAACAATAATTTAATATACATGAAAAATTATATTGTTTTTGTTTTATAGGCTTTTCAACAATAATTTAATATACATGAAAAATTATATTGTTTTTGTTTTATAGGCTTTTCAACAATAATTTAATATACATGAAAAATTATATTGTTTTTGTTTTATAGGCTTTTCAACAATAATTTAATATACATGAAAAATTATATTGTTTTTGTTTTATAGGCTTTTCAACAATAATTTAATATACATGAAAAATTATATTGTTTTTGTTTTATAGGCTTTTCAACAATAATTTAATATACATGAAAAATTATATTGTTTTTGTTTTATAGGCTTTTCAACAATAATTTAATATACATGAAAAATTATATTGTTTTTGTTTTATAGGCTTTTCAACAATAATTTAATATACATGAAAAATTATATTGTTTTTGTTTTATAGGCTTTTCAACAATAATTTAATATACATGAAAAATTATATTGTTTTTGTTTTATAGGCTTTTCAACAATAATTTAATATACATGAAAAATTATATTGTTTTTGTTTTATAGGCTTTTCAACAATAATTTAATATACATGAAAAATTATATTGTTTTTGTTTTATAGGCTTTTCAACAATAATTTAATATACATGAAAAATTATATTGTTTTTGTTTTATAGGCTTTTCAACAATAATTTAATATACATGAAAAATTATATTGTTTTTGTTTTATAGGCTTTTCAACAATAATTTAATATACATGAAAAATTATATTGTTTTTGTTTTATAGGCTTTTCAACAATAATTTAATATACATGAAAAATTATATTGTTTTTGTTTTATAGGCTTTTCAACAATAATTTAATATACATGAAAAATTATATTGTTTTTGTTTTATAGGCTTTTCAACAATAATTTAATATACATGAAAAATTATATTGTTTTTGTTTTATAGGCTTTTCAACAATAATTTAATATACATGAAAAATTATATTGTTTTTGTTTTATAGGCTTTTCAACAATAATTTAATATACATGAAAAATTATATTGTTTTTGTTTTATAGGCTTTTCAACAATAATTTAATATACATGAAAAATTATATTGTTTTTGTTTTATAGGCTTTTCAACAATAATTTAATATACATGAAAAATTATATTGTTTTTGTTTTATAGGCTTTTCAACAATAATTTAATATACATGAAAAATTATATTGTTTTTGTTTTATAGGCTTTTCAACAATAATTTAATATACATGAAAAATTATATTGTTTTTGTTTTATAGGCTTTTCAACAATAATTTAATATACATGAAAAATTATATTGTTTTTGTTTTATAGGCTTTTCAACAATAATTTAATATACATGAAAAATTATATTGTTTTTGTTTTATAGGCTTTTCAACAATAATTTAATATACATGAAAAATTATATTGTTTTTGTTTTATAGGCTTTTCAACAATAATTTAATATACATGAAAAATTATATTGTTTTTGTTTTATAGGCTTTTCAACAATAATTTAATATACATGAAAAATTATATTGTTTTTGTTTTATAGGCTTTTCAACAATAATTTAATATACATGAAAAATTATATTGTTTTTGTTTTATAGGCTTTTCAACAATAATTTAATATACATGAAAAATTATATTGTTTTTGTTTTATAGGCTTTTCAACAATAATTTAATATACATGAAAAATTATATTGTTTTTGTTTTATAGGCTTTTCAACAATAATTTAATATACATGAAAAATTATATTGTTTTTGTTTTATAGGCTTTTCAACAATAATTTAATATACATGAAAAATTATATTGTTTTTGTTTTATAGGCTTTTCAACAATAATTTAATATACATGAAAAATTATATTGTTTTTGTTTTATAGGCTTTTCAACAATAATTTAATATACATGAAAAATTATATTGTTTTTGTTTTATAGGCTTTTCAACAATAATTTAATATACATGAAAAATTATATTGTTTTTGTTTTATAGGCTTTTCAACAATAATATACATGAGATCTTGAAAAGGAGTGCTAACCTAAAGGCCTTATTTCTGTCTTTGCATTTCTCCCAACAAATTTAATATCCAAATATCACAGTAATGTTGTACTTACATAGAATAATCACCTTTGTATTAGATTTTTATTTTTATTTTTTGTATTTTTACTTTTTCACTTTTAATC